CATGGTCAAGTTAGGAATTTAATCTGACCTTCAAATCCTTCTCCACAATCTCCGTTTCACTGAGTTTGTTCAAACTTCTCCTATAACATACTTGGAACCCACCATTGAATTTTTCTCTACATTTGAATATAATAGGGTGGGGGATACAGATTATCTCATTTCATTCCAATTGTTCAATGTCAAACACACTTTAACCCTCTTTAAATTCAATGAAGGTCTTGGATTCAACCCTCATGTAGATATTTTAGAGCCACTCCTTTTCAACCCGGCTACTTACAATGAGGTTACTTGGTGGAGAACCATTGCCCATAAAAGAACTTTTGACTCCAAGAATTGAATTGATAGTGAAATTATTCACCCAGCCCTTAGGATTCTTCATAGGGCCCTTGGTTATGCCGTATTCAACAAGCAAGATCTTGGTAAGCTTTCAAGGGAAGAGATTATGGTTCTTTGGATGGCCACCAAGTCGGATTTTGTGGAAGAATGGTGAAGAGTTTAATAACTCATTTCAAACTAGACGCGTTCATGAGGTCTTGCACTCCGGTTGGAGGGAGTGAAGACATGTTACCAAATTTGAAGCAACTTAACACTTTACGATTCATTACTAGTACAAGGAACGCCGATGTTTATTCTTGGTTAGTGCGAAATGAGCACTATTGCTTGCTTCCAAACTCAACCACAACTTCTATTAGTAGGGAGGCTAGGAATGTTTGGATTCCCATTAGGGATAGGGGGCAAGTAGTAGTGGATATGGAGGAGGATGAGGATGTAAATGAAGATGGTGATGGTGATGGTGATGAGGAACAACAACAACAACAACAACAATAACAATTCTTTCAACAACATCGAGGTTGAAGAAAACATCGACAACAACATGACTACCAACAAGATCCCTATCTTAGGGAAATGACGGCCATGTGAGAGAAAATGGAGCGCATGCAATTAAGCATGCAAGGTATGTATGCCGAGAACCAAAACTTGGCTTTTCAAACTAGCGCCTTATACGATGCTAGTGTACGTAAGGGGGAAGGTCACTCCTCCGGTTAACTACCCTTATGAGCTGGCCCAACTAGGGCCCGTGCCATCTTGGGGTGGTGACAACCTTCGTATGTACCCTTATTGGCAAGGGGTCTCAAACCCCGATGTGCCTAGGCGCAATTTCCCCGAAGAGTCCGTTCATTATGACTACCGGGTTTCGGGGGGGGGGGAGTGACTATAGGGGTGATCCAAACCCCTATGTTCACCCCATTCACCCCGAGCTTTGCATCCAACCCGAGCCTTATGACCAGTTGTCCGCATCCCAACTTGACCTTTTTAAAGGTCATTATGGGTGGCCACTCGGTTACACCGGTGGTTGGGATCCCTATGGCCCCCCATCGGGCTTCTCTTATGATGGGGATGCGGGTGATGGTGGTGCTGGGCCTAGTGGCCATTAGCCCCCCTTGGGTTTTTTATTTACCCCTTTTTGATACCTCTCCTATAGTTTCCTTTGTGTGAGGGGGGGTGTCGAAAAGGGTGTTTTAGGGTAGGTTTTGGGGAGGCACCTTGGACTTTCATGGATATGTTTGAAAAGGTTTTGGTCGGTTTTCTTGCTTTTCTTTTGTTAGTCCAGTTGGTATGTTGTCTGTTATGTTGTCTTACTTTTGATGATGATGTTTTGGGATTTCCACCATTGATGATGATGATGTTTTTCTAGGTTTTTGTATATAGTTTTTTAATAAGTTTTCTTTTGTTTGCTTTTATTTGGAAGTTACAAACAATTTTCTTTGTATATAGTTCTTTATTTCTCCCCTTGCTCTATTGCTTATGCTTTGGATTTCGACGATTCGTAAGGTGCTCTATCACCTTTATTTATGTAACATAGCTTTAGCACCTGGTGAGATCTTTCTATTTCTCTTCCCTTTCTTTTCTTGGTTTCTTAGATTAGGATTAGCTTTAGGATGAGTTGAATGGTTCGAGGATGTTTTCCTTGTAAAACCTAGCGTGTTTGGGGTCATTGGCGTTGTTGTCAAATGACCGCTTGTTTGACGATTGGGTATTACTTGTGATTGCTTGCATTCTTGTGCTTTTCTCTCTTTATTTTGATTTTTAGTTATTTTCTTTCTTTAAAATAAAAAAAAAAACATTTTTGAGGCTATTCTTTTTCTTCTTGCTTGTTTAGTTCTGATCTTTGGACATTCTATAATTTGGAATTTTGCCTTTGAATGTATGCTTTCCTATGTTTTATCGGTATGCATACTTTGAGAGTATTTGTTGTTGAATTTAGGATAGGGTATGCTAAGGTAGCGATTTAGACCTTTTGGGGACTTGAAGCCAGATTCTTTTTGTTTGTGGTAAGACGGAGTTGCTTTCTTTGGTGGATTTGACACCTTTAGTAAATTTTCGCTACAACCGTGTGAGGATTTTTCTTTTTCAAGCCTTCATCATTTTTTGATTGTGCGGCGTGGATCCTTGACCTTTTCATACCTAATCTTTAATCTTGACTCATAATTCCCAAACACGAGACAGAACCAACTAGGAAGGACAAAGACATCTTTTCGGGGTGATAATTTTTCTTTTCTAGGTTAATCTTCTTTTTTTTTTTTAGTTCATTGGGTTTACATTTGCCTTCTTGCTAACCATTTGAGCCTTTTGTTTCATTTTCGTTTCCATTCTTGGTTTATGTGAAGAAATTGATCATTATTGTTGGAGTTTATGATGGAGGAGTTTGGATATTTGGTTCTCCTGAAAGCAAGATTATGTTGTGATATTTGTGTGAATAATGGAAAATGAATAAATGAAAAAGCCTTCCAAACTTATATAAAAAAGGCAAGGACAAAGCAAATGCAAAATTGTAAAATTTGTCCTAAGTTAAATAGGCATGGGCAATTGCTTTGAAAGAAGTGAAAAGAAAAAAAGAAAAAAAAAAAGAAAAAGAAGTGAAAATGAGAAAATTCATAAATATTTTGATGTAATTTCTTTTGCCTTTTCAAGAATTGAGGCCAATGCTTCCTTTTAGCTTGGGGGAGAAGCATTTACGCTTTTTGCATATATGCTTATGGTTATAGCTTTGAATAATCTTGGAGGTGTTAGTTTGTTTTTGTTTGGTGACTTCTCGGTGTTGGTGTTGAGGTTTGGCCAATCTTTGCTTCATAACCTAGGTGTACCACCAAATTTTAAAATTTTAGCCTACACCTAACCTTTTGCCCTTACGTTACAACCTTTGGGAAAGTCCTTTTAACCTAGTTGTTGAGTCATATACCGAGGGAGAGCATTAAGAGTTAAAGCCTAAGGAAAAGGAATGCAAGGTCAATATGTCGAGAAACCCTCAAATTTTACTCTTTTTCCGGTTCCTTCGAGGAAATATAGAGACGCTTACTAAGGGAAGATTTGAAGCCATAGGGAGAACACGGTTAGATTGGTTGGGATGAAAGTGGATTGCGCCTCATTAGTTCTCTACGCTTAGCATACCTTATGTTTCAATCAACCGTAAATATCTTGAAGCATGCATACACATTTCATATAGAAAAGTGTTCATTCATTTGCAATTGACCGTTTGTGAAAATCCTTATTAAGAGCTATTTGTTTGAATTCTTTTTTTTGGGTAAATATAATATTTTATTACCAAAAATAGAGAGAGTTACAAACTTAAAAAAAGCTAAGTTGTAACAAACACCAAACACCACAGACCAAAACAGGCCACATAACACCAAAAGTCCAATAATCTGCCCAAACCACCTTCTAGGAAGGGGGCTCGAGAGACCAAAGGACACCTACTGGACTCGAACTCACAGCGACCTTCTAGGAAGGGTTCTGAGAGCAAGGACCAGACAAGAACAACAAAGACAGCAAGCAAAATAAAACAAAGAGCTGAACAGAAACTGAAAGCTGCAAGATAAAACCAAATCAGCACCCAAAACAAACAAAACAGCTGCCAGAAAACAAAACCTTCAGCTGCCAACTAAGGAAATCCAAGCTGCTGAAGACTGCAGACAGAACAACAGACACAGAGCTATAACCAGGGGAGCAACAACAGCAACCTGACCTGAAAACCAGCTGCCACCCAAAAACAAACAAGCTGCAACAAACAGAAACAACAAAACCAAGCTGCTGCAGACTTCAGAAAACCAGAATAGCACCAGCAACCTGGCAGATCTGAAATCAGACTACTACAAAATAGAAAATCAGTGAAGCAAAAGCAGCTTCTTGTCTTCTCCATTGCACCTAACAGCAACATGAAAAATAATGTCTTTAAAAACAGATTCTGCAGGTTTACAATCACCTGTAAACATCAAACTATTCCTTTGCAGCCATATACTGTAAATAGCCTCAGCAAAACACATGGAGTATACTCTTCCCTAGCTGCTAGACTTCCTGCAATTCTTAACTATCAATTGCTGTTCAATGTGAAAAGGTTGAATTGATTTTTTTCACATCAAGAAGCTTCAAAATCTGTTCCCAAATAGTCTTAGAGTAAGGACAACAAAAGAACAAGTGAGAAACAGTTTCACAAGAGTTCTGGCAGAAAAAGCAAATAGGATCACAACTTGCATTCCACTTAACAATTATGTCCTTAGTGGGAAGTTTATCATGCAAAGCTAACCAAGTAATGAAAATACTCTTAGGAGCAGCTTGGTTATAGCAAACAATTCTTTTCCACCCTACTTTACATGAGGTCGAATCCGGGCATAAAGTTTAGCAATACTCATTTTCCATTTCATAATAGATGACCAACCACCAATATCATCAATAATATCTCTGCAAGTCTAGATTTTCTTCAAAACCCAGAAGCATTTCTTGGGAATAGTAGCAGTCCAAATATTTCTATTGCTGAAATAATAGGTATGCACCCATTTCATCCACATATTGTTAGATTTATGAGCAAGATCCCAAAGAATCATAGAGATAGCAGCTTTATTCCAATCACCAAGAGAGGTAATATTCCAGCCACCACACACCTTAGGAAGAGTCATATGACGCCAGGAGACAGGGGCCTTTTTTGCATAAGTGTTCTTCCCAGTTTAAAGAAAAATCCTGAACTTAGATTCAATTTCCCTAAGAATCTTCTTAGGTAAGATGAAAATCTGAGCCCAATAAGCCTGAATACCAACGAGAACACTTTTGATAAGCTGTAACCTACCATCATAAGACAAGTTTCTAGAAGTCCAGCATCCAATCCTAGTAGTAACCCTTTCAACCAAAGGCCTACACTGAGCAACAATAAGCTTTTTAAAAGACAAAGGCACCCCAAGATATCTAAAAGGCAAGCTACCTCTACTCATGCCAAGAGCAGTTTGCAACTGATCTTTATCAAAATCAGAGATGCCTCCAAAATAAACCTCACTCTTACTTAAATTAGCCATCAGACCAGAAGCACAAGAGAATTTCTGGAAAGCCTGCAAGAGAAGCTGAATAGAGATGGAATCAGCCCTAGAGAAGAGGAGAAGATCATATGCAAAAATCATGTGGGTAATACCTAATTTCTCACATCTAGGATGAAAATTGAAATTAGGATTCCCAGTCATTTCCTTAAGGCACCTAGATAGGTACTCCATACATAGAGAAAAGAGAAAAGGAGACATAGTATCTCCTTGTCTAAGACCCTTTTTTGCAGGAAAAGGCTTAACAGGAAAACCATTAACCATCACAGAGTAAGAAATAGAACAGACACAAGTCATAATCCACTTCACAACAGAATGAGGGAAAACCAAGCTCTTCTAAAACAGTCTGCAAAAAGGGCCATTAAATAGAGTCATAGGCCTTTCTCAAGTCAATCTTGATCATGTACTTAGGAGAAACAAACTTATGAGAGTAACCTTTGATAAATTCAGTAGCCAAAAGAATATTGTCACCAATGTGCTTACCCGGGATAAATCCAGCTTGAGCATCATTAATAACTGTCCCCACCACTTTAGAAATCCTGTTTGTGAGAAATTTAGAGATCAACTTGTACAACATGGTACAACAAGCAAGAGGCCTAAACTCTTTGACATAAGAAGGATGTTGAACCTTAGGCACTAAGGTGATTGTTGTACAATTCCACTGCTTAACAATGATACCAGTCTCAAAGAAAGAGAAGATAGCAGCATAAATATCAGTTTTGATCATAGGCCAAGCCTTTTTGAAGAAAACAACATTGAAACCATCAATCCCAGGCGCCTTCTCATCTCAAATCTGAGCTAGAGCATTATCAATCTCAGAAGTAGTAACAACAGCAGTCAAAATGTCAATGGAGCCAGAACTAAGTTGAGAACCTCTCCTAATAGTGGCCAAGTCAACAACAGGCAGAGAACTAGCACTAGAACCAAGGAGTCCTTTGTAAAATCCCACAATCTCATTTTCAATAAGCACAGGATCTTTCAAAAGGACATCATCCTCAGTGAAGATAGAATCAATTCTATTTCTACCTTGCCTGTGCTTCATAACAGAAAAGAAGTAGTGAGAACTAGAGTCCCCCAGCTTAATCCAATCAACCCTAGATTTTTGCTTATAAATGGACTCCTGGATATACATCCAATGCTTCACCATATTTACAGCTTCAGCCTCTTTAACATGAAGGTCAGAATTAGAATAGTCCACAGCAAGCTGGTCTTGAATAGCTTTCAAAGAGGCAAGAGCCACATCAACTTTCTCATCAACATTAGCAAAATACTTAGGGTTCAAATCTTTCAGGTTCTTTTTCACAGTTTTTAAATTCTGCCAAATAGTAACCATAGCAGAAGAATCTGTAACACTATGCCAGCTGTTTTCCACAATAGAACAAAAAACAACATGATCAGCTAGGCAATTGAGAAACCTAAAAGGTCTCCCCTTAGCAGGAACAAATCTACACACTTCAACCAATAGAGGATTATGATCAGAAAGAAGGGGAGGAAGATAGATGGATTCAACATGAGCATACTTGTTCAACCAAGCCTGATTCACTAGCCTCCTGTAGAGTAGCACCATGGCCCTTATTAGACCAAGAGTAGAAAGAACCTTTGCTCGTGATTTCACAAAGATCAAGATTGTCAACAAAACTTCTGAAATGATTAACCTCATAATCAGTGACAGCATTACCATTAATTCTATCTTAAGAATTGAGAACAGAATTAAAGTCACCAATAATAATCCAAGGCCCAGAAACAGCTCCAAGACTAGAAATACCATCCCAAAGAGGTAACCTGTCATGAATAGAATGCAAGCCATACAGAAAGGTACAAAAAATCTGATGCTGAAGATCTTTAGAGCTAATTTGACATGAATGAACTGCTCATGAGAGGAGAGGACTAAGAGATTAACCTTGTCATGCAACCAGCCAACCCAGAGTCTACCCCTATGTGAAGATGAGTAGTTACAAAACCAAGACCAAGCAGGTCCAAATTTCTTCTAAATATTAACACTCTTATCACATTTAACCTTAGTATCCATGATACCAATAACATCCACAAACTGTTCAGCTAGCAGTTTCTTAACAGAAACTACTTTGTAGGGATCATTAAGACCCCTGATATTCCATGATATGATAATCATGACCCCAGAGGGGGATTACCATCACCCCCCGACAGGAACAAGATCTCTAGCACCATCACCATCCTTAATCAGAGCAACATAGGTATTAGAATTAGGAACATTAGTAAAGACAGGAGGATTACTATGACTTCTATGTTTCCTTCCCACCACTCTCCAATCATCATCAGAATTAGCTTGCAAAGTAGTTGGGGCAGGAGTGAAAACACCAGCACTATGAACAGAACCATTACCCCCAGATTCAGGCACACTAGGTTCAGGTGCAGGAACAGTGGCAGGTTGGGGCTTAGCAACCCAAACCTTTGCTTGCTGCTTAGGCTGCTCCTTAGAAGCCACCTGCTTCTTTTGAGGCTGAATCTTCCTAGGAATAGTATAGTCATGGCCCACTTTGTTACATTTGCTACAAAAGGGGGGTGTCCATTCAAAAACAACTTTTTGTTCAATCAAAACACCATCTGGACTCTCAAACCAGATAGTCTTTGACAAAGCCTTGGTTACATCAACTTCAATGAGCAATCTAGCAAAAGAGACCCTCAACTGTTTTGAAGTACATTCATTGGCACATAAAGGAACTCCTAAGACACTTCCCAGTTTGCTCAAAGTGTCCACACCCCAGCAATTCAAAGGTAAGTTAGGTAACTTAACCCATATAGGAACAATTCTCAAAAACTCAGTATGAAAGTCAAATTTCTCAGACCAAGGCTGAACAGTAGTTGCCTTACCAAAGAACATATGTGGACTAACACTAAGAACAACATTCATATCATTAGAGTTTTGCATTTTAATCAGAAAGTAGCCATCATCATGGCAAAACACATCATGTTTAGCTACAACACTCCAATTCTCAGCAATATATCTATGAACAGAGCAATAGTAAGATAATAACCTATTATATAAAAAAGTACATAATTCTTCAACTTGAGATTACCTTCATTAATTTCAGCTTGTTGTAATATGTCAATAGACTTGCCATCTTTGAGCACAGGAGCTACAAAAGAGAGGGAAGAGCCCTTAGCTGTGAGCTTATCAGACCCTGGCTTAGCAGCAGGAATAGTATCAGATTGAGGAGGCACCTCATCATTCTCAAGAGTAATCGGGTCAGCAATTGGAGCATAATCGAGCACAAAAATCAATGGAATAGTACGTTCGGAAACCCTAGGCACTGTTGTGTTTGGGATTCGAGGAACTGATCCAAAATTGAGGACAGGATTACATTCATCCATCTTAGAATCATCCTTCGAAGCACTGCCTGCATTAAAACCAGAAGGGGTAGCTCTGAAATCCAATGGAACAGTAGATTGGGGTACTGTTTTATTAGCTTTGATCAATCGGCCATGAAAATCCTCAAGAGCTTTAAGCTCAGCTCTAGTAATCTTCTCAGTTGAGAATCGACTCAAATGAGAAGGTGGAGTGACAAGTTCATCAGGGTCCTCATCAACTTCTGGAATTGAAGCAGATCCAGAAAACATAGAAACATTCAATCGATTAACACCATCATTGAACAAAGATAAAGAAGATTTGGAAGGGTGATTCAAGTTATTTAAAGGTTTAGGAGTAGATTGCCTCTTCTTCTTCGCCATTAAGACTCAACTAAGCTGAAGGAAAACCAGCAAACTCAAATCGCCATGGGAGGAAAAAGAAGAGAGAAAAGTCAACGCAAAGTCAAACCTATTTTTGTTATTTGTTTGAATTTTTGTTTCACCTTCTATTCTTTTTAAATGATTTTGCCTCATTTTATTTCAAAAAGTTGTGGGTTAAGCTCTTAGGAAACCCTTACGAGACCTCACTTGTCCTCATAGGCGACTTTCGGGTTTAAAGGGCTTGTTGTAGCTAAAAACAACAGTGATTCCTACCTTAGTGAGTCTTAGTGTATATTCTTCTTCTCTCTTTTTCTTTTCTAAATAAACCCTCCTTATTCCTTTTTAGCTTTTGTTTTGCTCAAGACGAGAAAAAGTCTAGCTTGGGGGAATTTGATGAGTTTCATTTATGGCACTCATAGGGTAGTCTTTTAGGATGTTTTCACCCTATTTTTTCATGGTTTTGTTTTATCATTTTGGTCTTTTATCCTTTAGTTTCTCTATTTCTTCTTTCTTCGTGTTTTACTTTCCTTTATGTGGTTTTCTTCGTGTTTCCCATTTATATTTCTCTTTTACTCTTCTATTTTCTCTCTTTGGTTACTTTTGTAGGTGCTTGAGGAGTTGTCTTTGCAAAGGAATCAAGAAGAGCAAAAAGAGCTAAGTTAAGAAAAATCAAGCTCCTTGGAGAGGGCACGGAGAGGGCACGAAGAGGGCGCTCTACATTTACTCATTGCCGCGGGCGCGGGTCCTAAGGGCCGCGGGTGCGGATAAAGTGCATCAAGTTGATGATTTTTGGCAAGAACTCACCGTGCCCTAGCCGCAGTCTAGCCCCCTGACCGGAACAGGGCATCTGTCGCGCCCTTAGCCGCGGGCGCAGGTGTCTTCGCCGCAGGCACAGGCTACGGTACTCGTGGGCGCGGGTCTTGCCCAGATTGCCCGCGGAGATAGTTATGGGTTCCGTACCCATTTCTCCTCACCCGCGGGATATTCTTGGAGAGGGAGCGACCGATCAGTTTTTCTTCTTTGTCTACAAATACTCTTGTAAATCCTTTTTAAGGCCAACTTATAGATAATATTTCATTTGCTTAGTTTTTAGAGAGAGAAACTAGAGAAGTTAGAGAGAAAGTAGAGATTGGAATTCTTGGATGTGACTTATATTACAACATTGCTTCAATCAAGTTTGGATTTCTTCTTCATTATCAATGAAAGTTTGTAAGATTTCTTTCATTTGAATTTACTTCAATTGCAATTTTCTTTTATGCTTGAATGTTTGATTTGGATTTTTATTTAGTTTTGAGAATTTGTTGATTGATTGATTTTCCTTTTGATTTAGCATGAAATGAATATGTTTGTGATTGAATTTGTTTTGTCTTTCAATTTCACCATGATTAGTGAGTGGATAGTTGCTAGGGAGAAGGGGAAGCATGCTTGATTGATGATTTTTGCTAGTTGATGATCATAGATTGATTGAATTGTTGCAATTAAATTGGTTGACATAGTTGTGCATGTGATTAATTAGACTAGGAGTGATCAACCTATAAGATTAATATAGATTGCATTGCAAATTTCAATGACATGAACCCTTGATTTGA